ACCACGGCACCATCCGGACCTGACACTTCACCAGCGTGGATTTACATCCAAAGTGACACGTTCAGAAAAAAGCCGAAGGTAGGAGTTTCCATCCGAGACAACCACGCGGACTCATCCAACACGTGGCTTCCCAGCAAAGTTCCTGACCAGGTTGTGGCTAGCTCGGTTTTGAACATAAAGGATGGGTTCCTCGTGCGTTGTCCTTAAGACACGGTCCTGTAATGAAGCAAAGCACGAAGCCTTGGTTGCGGGGCTGGCAGACACCACGTTACAGCTTACTTACCAAAGCACCAGAAAAAGGCCAAGGAGAGGAGCAGGAAGGCGGCTCTTCCCTTCATAGTGGAAGAGGGTGAGTGTTTTTCTGAAGCGGTTAGAAAGGTTTGTGCCCACCACTGCCGTGTTAGCAGCTGGGACTGCTGCTGTGCTTATATCTGTGACCGTGGCCTCCCACATGACTCTCACGTGGCACTGCTGGCTGGAGTATCCAGGACGTGTTTGCTTAAACCATGTCGAATCTGGGTTTTTTGGATAGTAAATAGCTCCCATCACTGTCATTCTCATGGGAAAGCCGGCTCCGCTGGAGCTGTCCCGTCGCTGCTGTGCCTGCAGGCAGAGCGCTCGAGGCAGGCATCGCCCGCGCCGCCTGCCCGGGAGACGAGCTCGGGCCACGCCAAATGAAGACACTCTGGCCGACCTGCTGCGTGGACGGGCCAAACTTGGCCAGCTGCAGACTGGGCTCTGGTGGGCGCTTGATTAAGAGCTGCTCTTCTAGTGAGGGCTGCAGTTTCTTTTCTGCCATCATCGTCATTATGTGCAGGCCCTTGGCCATTGCTGTCCTACCGGTAATGAGGAACAAGCAAGTTTCATGGTCGTTAGGGGACGGAGGGACCTTATCAGGTCCAGCCCCCCCGCACTTGGGAGGACAGACTGCTGTTCCCAGCAAGGTGCAGAGAGAGTGGAGATTTCGATCATTTAAAAGGGCAACGGCCACTCTCCCAGCTTGAGGAGCAGCCCCAGGATGGGTGGGACTTTGCCAAGTGTTGGTGTCTGGTCGGGGGGCACTTAGGGCACACGTGGAAAAAGTGACTTATGTCATGTCTGCAATGGTCTCAACATCGATCCAGCACATGCTTCTGGTGCAAGTCATTTGGGCTTTTCAGGCGTGTATCAAATCTGCCCTGGGGGAGGGCAAATAAACCCCAGCCGGTGACACTTAGGTGTGAGAGGACGTGTGGAGGCCCGGGAGATTCCCCTTACCCTAAGCACTGAATGCTGAACTCAATGGGGGACTTTTTGGGGTCCCCACCACAGAAAGGATGTGGAGACGTTGGAGAGAGTCTGGCGGAGGGCAACGAAAACGGTTGGGGTCTGGGGGCAGGACTGGTGAGGAGAGGCCGAGGGAAATGGGCTGATTGAGTCTGCAGAGGAGAAGACCGAGGGGGATTGAATAGCAGCCTTCACCTCCCTGCAGGGGGGCTGCAAAGAGGATGGAGCTGGGCTGATGATCTCAGTGGGGGCAGATGGCAGGACAAGGAGCAATGGGCTCCAGCTGCAGCAGGTTGGATATTAGGAAAAACTCTCACTAGGAGGGTTGTAAAACACTGGAGCAGGCTCCCCAGAGAGGTGGTGCAGTCTCCATCCTTGGAAGTGTTTAAGACCCGGATAGACAAAGCCATGGCTGGGATGGTGCAGGTGGGGCTGGTCCTGCTTGGAGCAGGGGGTAGGATTAGATGGGACCCCTGAGCTCCTTCCAGCCCTCCTTTCCTAGGCTTGGCTGACACCAGCTCTTCTGCCGGCAGTGAGTTCATTTTCCACCCTGGGAAGTTTAAAGCAAGCCTGACACCGCTCTGAAAACGGCACTTACAGAAACCAGAGGGACGAGGGCAGGAGACAAGAGGATTTGTGGGAATCCTTGTTGGACAGCCCGGCCCGGCGTGCCCCTGCGTTCTGGTCGAGGTCCCACCAGGCACCGCGTGACGCGCTCCAGCACGCACGTCCAGCAGCGCACGTGGCATGGGTGACTGGACAGCACTCGGTCCCATACGCTGCTGCCCAGCGCGATCACAGGGTTTCCAGGCAATGCGTACCTCCATCGCACCGGGACGATTCGGGGCTGTGGTTCACCTAGCCGGCAGCACAACCCCAGCAGGCTGCGATGGACCTGCCTGCCGACACTTCGCTGTTTTGCCTTGGGCACATTTGAACCCCCGCCTGACACGGCTCTGCTGGGAACCAGGCAGCTGTCAGGAGGCTCATCAGTCTCCCACGCTGGGGGCTGCCTGGGAAATGTTCTCAGCATGTGCTTTCCTCCAGGCACATCCACGCAGGAGCTTCATTTCCTAGGGAATTCAGTCTAGGGTCAATATTGACACCTGGGAATGGTCTCGGGGGCAATTCAGAGCCTGGGGGAAGCAGGAGGAGGACACGTGGCTGAATGCACCTGCATGTCACAGGGACACTGGGTTATTGAGACCATGGACAAACAATGTGTTTGCACCCGTGTCGTTGGTACCAGGCTTGGGAAAGAACCAGCCACACGTAACCCCCTAAAGCAGGGTAATTTTGCTCAATCTGGCATAGAATAACTCTGGCCAGAATCAGGGTAAAATACTGCTAATTGCACCCAGCCGGTTAGGGGTCATCTCACGGTTGCACCTGCTCCCCGCTGGAATTGCTGCCTGCTCTGTGCTGCTCCCCCGGGGAGCTCGTCTGTCCAGGCCTGGCCACGGGTAACTCATGCTACAAAACAGTGGGGGATGGGAGCACCCTGCCCTGGATGGGTGCTAGCCATAGGGCAGCACGTTGCATGGGCACATCTACACATGCACATTTACTGCACAGTAACAAAATTACTGCGCAGTATGGGTGCACATCTACACATGCACACCTGCACTGTGCAGTAAATATGCTGGCTTACACTGATTTGAGTGTAAATTTGATACCTGCATCATGCAGGTATCATATTTATGCCCGATTCGTTATTGCACAGTAACACATGTGTAGACACCCTACTGCGCAGTAATGCTATGTGTGGACTGACTTGGGACTAACTTTAGTCTCAGGTCAATCCACACGCAGCATAACTGTGCTTTGACGCCTGCACATGTAAGCACCGGCCTATTCCCGCTTACTGCGCAGTACATCTAAGCCAGCGTAAATGCACGTGTAGACATGCCTAGCGCTAAGCTTCACTCGCTGACCTCGGGACTGCTGTTCTCAGGCAGCGACGGTTTAAAGGCTAGTTTGAATGGGAAATTGCAATCTCAGGCGAAATCCTGGATCCAGTCAAGGTGAATGGCACAACCCCCAGGGGCTCCCACTTCTCTCCCTCCTCTTTTCTCACCCATTGTATTCAAATCACGCCCGTCCCTTTACACCCTGCTCTGTGCTGTCTGATGAAGTGAGCTCATTCACGAAAGCTTGTACTGTGTCTCTATCTATAGATTATTTAGTCAGTCTATAAGGTGCCTCCCTGCCCTGCTTAAAGCATCCTGAGTGACAAGGTTCATGGTGCCTTCCCCTCTTCACGGCTGGAGAGCAGGTGCTAACACCACTTTCTGCAGGGTTCATTCTCAAAGCACCTCGGACTCGCCCTGGCCTGTTTCCTGCAAGCAGGGGTTGAAATAGCTACCCAAGGGCCCCCTGGCAAAGGAGGCAGCACTCGATCCCCGCAGCTCCCCCAAGTGCTGCATCCGGAGCTGGCCCAGGCTGCGTCTTCCTGGGAAGACGCCAACAGGATCGGTTGCTCAGCTTTGGCGTAGCATGGCCCGGATCCCGCTCCCGATGCTGCCCGCACCCAGAACAAAACCTCTCCCTGCCCAGATGAAGCCGTGGCTCCCTTCAGCGTTGCAGCATTGCATTTCTCTTAGCATAGCTCCGTTTTAGCAGCAAAGCACACACCCCTGCAGCCGGGGCTATAGCAGATGGCCTTTTCCTCTCTGTGAAAAAGCCTTTGGGGCAGTCCCATTTCTGCTCTCTGGAGCCGGGACATGTCCTATCCACGGGGAGATTTTCACTTGGCTTCAGGAAAGCTTAGCCCTTTCCCAGCTGTATCCCTGCATGCCTGCCGGGTGTCACCAAAGCACGCGGCCTTTTCTCCAACCTCCTCTGTGACTCCCGGGTGATGGAGCAGCCCTGCGAGTTCAGGCGCTCGGTGCCAAAGGACCAGCTCAGGGCTGCCCAGAGCTGGGCTCACGTTAATTATAAGGAGCTGGGCAGAACCTCGGGGAGCCCGAGGCTTGTCCATATAAACCTAGGGAGGTATTGGGGGCCCTCTGGGTCCTTTGCCAACCGGGGAAAAGTTGGCATTGTGGTGCTGCAGCTTTCAGGGAGGACCGAGCTTCTACGTTTGGATGGTTTTCTACACCCCTTTCCCACCGCCGAAGTTTGGGGTGCGTCCTCCTATGATGCACACAGCATCTCTCAGGCTCATGCGTGTTCCAGGACCCCTCTGAGGACGAGATCCCCGCCTGGGAGCTGGGAGCTGAGCCTGCCAAGACTAAGTGACATGCCCAAGGTCACACGGCAAACCTGTGGTGCAGGGGGTGGAACCCAGACGCAGGCTACAGCCCTCCCTCTTCCTCCATCCTCCTCTCCCAGGGGATCGGAGAAGCAGGCGGGGGGTGGCGGGTCTCATACCATTACCAGCCAAGACTTAAACTATTACAGCGAGCGGTTTATAGGCACGGGGACCCACGGTGAGCCTCCGAGCCCTGTGTGTCAGGCTTCGTGCTGCTCATCTGCACGTGGGGGTCTGCACAAATGGAGCAGCTCCATCTGCGGTGACGATATTGCTCCTCGCGACACCATTTGCACGGAGAGCTCTGGCAGCTCCCAGCAGCCAGGCCTAACTGCTCTATAGCTCTCATAGATACCATAGACATTAGGGCTGGAAGGGACCTATAGAAGGACAACCCCCGGGTATCCCAGCCTGGACCAGGCCATTTCTAAGGATAAACCCTCAGCATTGTCTGTGCCTCAGCAGAAAGGAGACCAGCAAAGCTCTGCGTTTCCTTTAGTTTATTGAAACAAGCTGCTGCATCAGGTCGAGGAAGAGGACGGGGTGCTCGGACATGGGTGGAAAGTCCAGGCCGTGAACGGGAAGAAGAGGAGAGCATGTGGGGCTGTCACCTATCCACGACTCTTCAATGTGAAGATGCATCTGGCTTTGGTCATCCGGTCATCATCCTAAAACCCCAGTTAAGGTGTTCTGAAAGACAGGGCAGGCGTGAACCAGAGCTGGCGTCTCCTGGCTGCAAAATTCAAGCAGGTCTGGGCACCGGTCAGTCTGCGTCCCACTGCAGCCTGTTAAGCGGGCGCAGCCACTGCCCGCTGCTCACCTGGGCTGGTTTGACCTCCCTGAACATCCGTGCGTGATGGTCACAAGGTGCCGTCATCAGGGAAACGGAAGAGTGACCTCCTCTTCCAAGCCGTGTAAGAGCCTGGGATGTCCTAGTCCCAGCCAGGTGGCAGCTCTCCCTAAGAGAGTTCCCGCAGCGAGGAAACCCAAGGGGGTCCTTGGCTCTTGAGTCCCACCCCGTCCCTACCGAGGCGGGCAGTAGTCAGGCCGGTGGGAAAGAGATGGTGTGGCTACGCTGCCCCTACATCAGCCTGTGATGGAGACCCCAAGCTGGGGCGAGACGTATCCCCAGCACACGCGCGCCTCTGCCCGACAGTGATGCACCGGGTGGTTTCCTCCCAGGAAGTTTTGCATCGCCCGTCTCCCATGCTGCGCTCTCGCACAGACCGAGACAACCTGCATGCACCCAGCCGCCCCTCCTGAGTGCCAGGAGATCATGCTAAGAAGCTCCGACTGTTGCTCCCATGCTTGCTTCGAAGCAACCCACATCCACCCCAAAGCCCCGATTTACCATGAGGCCCTGAATGGAAAGGGTCTCCCCTGGAGAGAGGCTCTTCACACAGGTCTGGAGCTCCTCAATGAGTTGGGCGTTTGGGAGGCCGAGGCCAGAGAGCGGGGATAGAGCGAGGGAGTTAGCAGGAGCCAGCAGAGCAGAGGCTGCAAGACAAAGACACGTGAAATCATCCCGACAAGGGCCGCAGGGGGCATGACCGCCGGGTCTGCCCGACCCTGCTTGTGCCGTCCAGCAACTGCCTGCCCTCTCCAGGCTTCAGCCTGCGTGCCGGTCTGCTGGGGCGGGCAGCAGAGCATTGCACAGGGCGTGAGACCCTGCTCACTGCGCCGTGCAGATCACGTACCGGAGCAGCAGCACAGCGCCAGGGCCACGAGGAGGAAGGAGACATGCAGCTTCATGGTGGAGCTGGCTGTGCAAGACTCAAAGGCTCCGGCTGGGATGCTCTGCATTTTGCGCTTGCTGCTCCTGCCTTTGTATGGGGCGCGCCTGCATGCCCCACCCAGCGCCCCCAGGCCAGGCTGCTGACGTGTTTGCCCGGCCCGCGGCCCAGGGAGACATCCCAGTGCCCCTTGTTTCAAGTCTAGGCCTCCAGAGCCATGTGCACAGAAGAGGGGAAGGGGTGCTTGCCCCTCAGCGCTGCCCAGGGACCATTGCACTGCCAGTCTCAGAGGGTGATGAGCTTCCCCTCAGGGGAGCTACTGGTTTCTGCAGACGTGGGGCTGGCTGGGCAGGACGCATTCCCTCTTGGCTGGTCCGAGTGCCCTTGCCTAGAGAACAGCCTTCACATGGGCAGAGGGAGGCAAAAGCTTGTCTGCGCTGAAGGGGAAGCTCTACTTCTGTGAGGGGATTGTACACCGCGGTGCCGGCGATGGCAAAGGAGTGTGCCCCATGGCCAGGGCTCCTTCACAGCTCAGTCTGCTCCAGGGGAAAGTGGGAGAGACGTGTCCCGCTGCCTCCAGCCTCCCTGCCCTTCCTGCTTGTCCCTGGCCCCGGGGCGTGAAAACATTGCTTGACTTGAGGTATCTGACCCTTGCCGGGGGGCTCTGGGTAGCATTCATCCCGTGCTGTCTGATGGGCCTCGCGGACAGTGCTGGCTCACAAAGAACAGGTGGGAAATAACAGAGTCTGGCCCTAAGGCCCCAAATCCGGTTGGCTTCCAGCAGAAGTCACAAAATCACAGAAAATGAGGGTTGAAGGGAGCTCAGGAGGTCACATCGAGTCCAGCCCCTGCTCCAAGCAGGACCAGCGCCCCCTCCATCATCCCAGCCAAGGCTCTGTCTAACCTGGTCTTAAATCTCCAAGGATGGAGAGTCCAGCACCTCTCTGGGTCACCTGTTCCAGTGCTTTACTACCCTTCTGGTGAGAAAGTGTTTCCTAATATTCAACCTAACTTGCCTTGCTGCAGCTGGAGCCCATTGCTCCTTGTCCTGTCGTCTGCCCCCACTGAGAGCAGCCCAGCTCCATCCTCGTTGCAGCCCCCCTGCAGGGAGTTAAGTCCTGTAATTACAATCACAATGAAGAGGGACAGAAGGGATTTGGGGGGGTTCTCTAGAAATTCATCTGTGCCTAAAGCATCCCTGCCAGAGGCTGGTCCAGCCGGCTCTTCCAAACGGCCCGTGATGGAGACCCCAATCTTCCCTCTGCCAGGGCTCAGCTCTCCTTGCAGGCAGGATGGTTTCCTAATGCCTAACCTACATCTCCTTCACCATCGTTCAAACCTGCTTCTTATCATCTCCGCAGTGGGCACGGGGACAAGTCTTTTAACATATTTGCCTTTCCTCTGCCTCCTGCTCTCTTGACAGAACAACCCAGTTCTCTTCTCAGAGGTCAGGCTTCCTAGACCCCCTTCAATGCCAAATATCCCAGAACGGCAGCAGAGCGACGCGCCGTGGGATGCCTGCATGGGAAGCCAAGCGCTCAGCTCTGAATATTGGCGCTCCGTGCGGTCCGGGCCTCGGTCACACTGCAGCGCGCACACACGACGTGCACAACTGTTGTGCACGTACACAAACCCCCAGAAAGCTGCAGTGGATGTGCCCTGAGTCACTTCTTGCTTTTCCCCTTCGAAAACCCACCTGACGTGACTCCGTCCCGAACCCGGCAGCTGTCAGGAGGCTCATCAATCTCCCCCACTCGGTGCTGCCAGCGAGATTTTTCTCAGCCTGTGCCTTGCCTTCGGGTGTCTGCAAATAGAAGGGGAAGCTCGCACGCACATTAGCTTAATTTCCACCGGCAATGTAGTGCCACAGGCCAGCATTTCTCTGTGACATTTGTCTAAGGGCAGACGCTGAGCCAGTGCCAGCCACGCCGGGGGCAGGCCAGGAGAAGGATGCGCTACCGGATGTGCCGGTGTAGAAAAGAGGGGCTGAGCTGACGAGGTTCAGTGCTGAACTCCACTCCTCCAGCCCCAGCCATGAAGGGGACGGGAATTGCCCTGCTGCTCATTCTGGCTCTGTCCTGCGTCTTTGGTAAGTGGCGATAGGAAGCCCCGAGGATTTCTGAAGCTCGTGTGTATGGGAGCCCCTGACACGGCACGGAGGGGCAGGCGGCATCCGGGATACCTGCCCAGCCGCTGCTTCGTGAACATGTCTCAGGCTCACGGCTATGGTGCGCACGCCGTCAGCTGAGGTTTGTGCCGGGTGCTCACCTGGTATCCAGCCACCGTCGGGGGGAAGGCAGCCCTTTTTGTTCTCTCCGGGGTGGAGAAGGGGGAGTCTTGGCAGAGAACAGAAGATTTGGGCTGGGGAGAAATCGATGTCTTCTTCCACTAAAGGCCTCACCCCCGGTGCCCCTTGGGGATGGGAGTTCAGACAAGGTGGGGAAAACTCACGGAGACGAAGCTGGAAGATTGGAGTAATTGCAAAGGAACAGCTCCTCCGGCTGAGGGCGGTTCCCGCGGACGTATTCCTTGTATTCGTGCCGCACTGGGGAGCCCGTCGTGGCACTGCTGTGCTAGGTGCTGTACGAACACAGCAGGGAGGGATGGTGCCTGCACCATTTTCCATCCTCCTCTGGGCTTCTGGTTGTGTTCATCAGTCAAAGGGAGTCTCGAAGGCAGAGCGTTTGGGGGGTGCCAAGCGGAGGGTGAGCGGAGAAGGGGCGAGGAACTGGGCCCGGGGAGGGAAGTTGACCCATTGACACTGAGCAGGGGCCTTGCGGCCGTGGGCATGGTGGGGTCTGCATGGAGAGGGGCCTCGTTGCGAGCCCCCGTCGCTGTCTCTGCATCTCACTGGGGCCATTTGAGCTCGCTGGGCTTGGGCTTACTTGGCCTCTTCGTCCTGCAGAAGCCAGCGGTGCATTGCCCAACCTCCAGGCCAATGCAGAAGACCTTGAGGAACTGGACAGTGGATATAAAGACGCTGTCAATACCGCCGTCAAGGGCATTGTCAAGGGGTTTGAAGACAGCAATATAGTGGTAAGCTCAACCTTGGCGGGGTGAGTTCTTCATTAGGAGCTGGGCTGGGCTGTCGCGGGTGTCGTCAGTCCAGGATGGGCTGCCTTTCTGGAAGACCGGCTAGTGAAACCAGCTGCTGGGCTTTGCACTGGAGGAAGCTGGCCTGCGCTGTACAGACGGTTTGCTTGGAGGATCGAATGCTCTTTTTGGCTTTAACGTTATGAATCTAAATGACACAACCCCCCCTCCTGCGACAGGGATGATGTCGGACCAGGCTCCGGCAGCTCAAGACTGCCCAGGGGAAGCAGCGGGGAGACTTTCTTGTACCAATTGGTGTAGTGTAGACACGAGCAAAACGTGTTGCAGGGCAGAGGGGGAGCCCACAATTTAGCCCTGAGTGCTTTCACTTCTCAGCCTCGCTACCGGGCGGGTGCGGGATTAGCGGACAGGAGAGGGCTCGTTCCGGGGGGGTCTCCATGCAATGAAATCTAAGGATTTCATCTGGGTTTCCAGCTCCCCCGGTACAAATAAGGGGGGAGTTTCAATGTGGAGCCCCATGCATTTCAGGGTCTGCTTGGATGTGTCCCGCTTCACTGCAGCTCTGACATCCCTTTTGGCTGTGGATTTTTAACCCGAGCTCAAGAAGTGGCCAACCCCCCTCAATATAGCACGACCCTTGTCCCCGTCACACCAGGGGAGGGTTTCTGATCTCCGGCTCGCTGGTGTAACCGGCCGAGGGTCCTGGCTGAGTATCTCTGTTGTCCGGAGTGAAGCCATCCCAGATGTATTCCTAGCACCGGTACAACGGCTGGAAGAAATGGGGAAGGTGTAGCTCCAGCATGACCTGTGTGAGCTCCTTGTCCAGACCCCTGGGTGCAAGGGCCATTGAACCGCAGGGCCGGTGCTTTGAAAAGCAGGCGGCTGCACCTCTGCTTTTATTGACATTTTATGGCGCCTCGTTTGCTTTCAGGGGAAACAATGAGGCTGGCGGCTGGCGACCCGGCAGGGCCTGACTGCAGGCATCCTCCCTGTAGCTCAAGCAGACGGACGAGGCGGAGACCTTGGATGGTAGAGCAGTCGCTTGCCTTGCAATAAAATAAGCACAGGAATACACCGTGGCCTCACGCGTATCATTACTGCCGCTCGTTGCTGCTATTCTGTAGTTATGTCCTGGAACGAGGGCTTCCCGGGCGTCTGAATCAGCAGCAGGGCTGTTTCTTCGTGCACGGTTCAGACGGGGCCAGATTGGCCCAGGCTTCGTGCCCTGAGTGAGGCAGACCCCAGGAGCCCTGAATACAGTGAGAGAGAGATTGCTTCTCACCGCTGTCACCCATGGACCAGTGATAAACGGCCACGAAATATCCATGGGGCAGAGGATGAATGAACGGGCCGCGGGCTGCTGCAGCTGAGCGTAGCTCCATGGGGGGCGGGAAGTTTGAAGAGTCGCGTCCCTGGAAATCAAGGCATGCTGTACAGCAGTGGGGCCAACCTTCTTGGCCTACGTGCCACAGATTAGCCCTGCACCCCCCAGAGCGCCACCCCAGTTCCCTTCTTCTGCCAGATCTGCCACTCCTGATGCCCTGCTCTGCTTTCTGCTTCTTGCCCTATCTACTGCGGTGTTAGAAACACAGGATCGTAGACAACAAGGGCTCATGGGGCACGCTGTAGCCTGTCCCTGTCCTGACCTGTCATGTGCCATGCACGCGGGCTGTCCGCGCCACTTGTCAGCACAGCGGGGACTGCTCAGCAGTCCCAGCTCCCTCCAAACCACCCTGTCTCGCTCCAGTTCCAGGTTAACGTATCACCAAAGAGGAGCAGGGGAAATCGTCCCCATTCCCATGCCGCTGAGATCATGTCATTTGGGGAGCTCGTTGTCCAGCTCTTCCACTGCACGCACACAACGAATACTGCAAGCTCACTCCCCTGCCCCAGCTGCAAACCCATGGTGATGCATAAATGATGCCTAGAGAGCACCAGGCATAGATTTTCCTTTGCAGGTGACATGTATTTAAATCAGCAGCTTGAGGGTAATTAAGCAGAGCAGAGTGCCTCTGTTAGGCAGATTTTTCTCTACCCACCAACGCATCTGCACAACAGGGATTTGCATAACGGTGACATATTGCACCATAATGATTGTAATGTGCCGGCAATCCCTA